ATTTGTTCAATTGCTGTTGTTGTATTCAATGTTAAACAAAACATTGTTTAACCGGACGATGACCTACACACCCGATAAAATAGCAAAATATGAAAAACGTTTTTGTTTATGAAAATATGGGTTAAACAACTACGGATCTTATATTTTTGTGGACCGACAGTAGTATTTTTTAAGAACCTTGCCACAGATTGTGACTGAACAAACCATGACGGAGAAAAAATTTTGCTCACAAAACTCTTCCTTAAGTACTAAATGGGGTACTGAGTGTAATACGTTTTCCAATATTTAGGAAAAGTTTTGAGAAAAATTGACTTTTAAGTTTTTTAACAATTTTAAATTATTAAATTTGATTTTTCTCAAAATCTTTTCGTTACGCTGAAAAAAGTATTACACTTAGTACCCCATTTAGTACTTAAGAAAGAACTTCATCAGCAAGCAATTTTCTTCGTGCTTCGCTAAGCTGCAATCTGTGGCAAGGCTCTTAAAAAATACTAGTTTTCTGACAAATCGACATTTCAATAAAAAAGAAAATTTCTATTAACCAAATTTCATTCAAAGTTCGCAATAATTTTAGCATATAGGCACTTCGATCTCTTTGATCAATTGGAGCCGGCCTTATCGTTAGAACACGCTTCTTTAATGAACAGTGAACGTTTTAGTAAACCTCTTAAACTTTTAAAAGTTAAAAGAAAATGGGAGGAACGTGTTTGAGACCCAACTTCGCCAAAAAAAATCGGAAAATGGGGCGATCCATACAACTATTTTTACATTAATCAAGAAAAAGAAACAGTAAGTAAATAAGTGACGATAATTTTACGCAGAGACACGAGGATTCAAACATTCAGCATGCTGTTAATGAAAGAAAGACATATGCAATTAGATGAGTGGATCTTGAGTTTTGTTGAACGCGAAAGCATAGTTTTTTTTCTTGCGTATTTTATCCGTCACACTTTTGATCTCATCAGTAACAAGAAATTTTAGGTGTAGATTCAAGAAATCGTTTCTGCTTACTGCAGAATAGGTCAAACTAAAAGAAATCAAAACCACACAAATGTGTTTGAGAAGATCGTTATTGCTTGTTCACAAGTTGATAAGGAACATATGTGCTCTGTCTGTGCTCATTTCATGAAGAGCAAATATGTTACTGCAGTTATAACGGCAACTTGACGTGAAAATGTCTTTCAATCGCGTTTTGAACGTCACTCGGGCCATTATGATGTAATAATTTTACTTTGGGATTACTCTGGTTAACAACGTTGATAATTCGATCGAACCATTGTTGATCATGACGTACACCGTAACCGATAAACAGACCATTCCAGTCTTTTTCTTTTACGACACGAGCGATTTCAGCATCGCATGCCGGTGTGTTCGTTACAACGAGTCCTTTAGCATCGACACCTTTTGAGACGAGATCATTATTAATCGAATGTACCAAACTGGGTGTGATGCCCATAGTCAGTATGCTCAACAGGGGTCTTTTATTTGTATTCATATTCTATTTACATAAAAATTAGTCTAAAAGAATGCAATATCAAAAAGACGCTTGATAGGCAAAAAGTTCTCCGCGTTACTACCGAAGTTTCTTCTGACTTACAATGAGAGAGGAGAAAGTACAATGCTAAACATTCTTCATTTTGCTAATAAGGCAGTTTATTTGTTAAACAACTTTCTTTCATTACTTGATGACTGTGCGTTTTACGTTATTCTGCCGTAGTTGATTTTAGTCGTATTGTTTTTCGTCGTAAGAAAGAAGAAAAATGACTTCTTGTTTAATTCCTTTTTTGTGCTTACTCTTATTCTACGACCAAAAACAGAACGAAAAAATTAAAAAAGGTAAAGTAAAATGCACAATCATCAAGAAATGAAAGAAAATTGTTTGATAAATAAACCGTATATCATATTCACATTCAACTTGACCACAATGTGCTGGATGCAGTCTCCGATCGCGACGCATTTTCTTTCAATCTTGCTTTTAAGGCACCCCGTCTCCGGGTCAAAAACGTGTCTCATCCCACGTGGGTCTGATCTGAATCAAACTTTCAGAGAATGTTCACCATATCAAAGTGTAGTAATGAAATTTCTTGTACGGTGCCATTCGCGAGTGTTCGCGAGAGGGCGCCACAGCAAGAGTTAAAAATAGGCGCCTAAGGGAAGCCGTCAAAAATAAGTCTGCACGTAGACGTAGACTATAGTCTACGCGTAGCTATAGATCAATATCATTCTCTTTTCTTTTTCTTTCTATGATTTTACTAAAAGAAAGAAATCGAATAGGTTTTTAAGTACAGACCAAATTTTTATTTTGTATAATCAATTACACAGTCTAACACAATCTAAAGCTGAACTGTATTTTCCTATTTATAAATACCAGTTACACATATATATGTATTTATGTTCTCACATGAAATAATCAATTTTACCGCATTATAAAGATTTTTTCCTTTTCCACGACAGGAAAACGATACTCTAGACGTTTTCCCTGATTTTCTCACAAGTTAACTAATTAAAGTAGCCTTAATTTTTAACGAATGTAAAGTAATCGACTCGGACTTTAAGATAGACTATTTTTTCCAAAAGAATACTGCCTAGTTTTTGAGTTATCTGGTTCACAATATCATTGTTGTAACAAAAATAAAGCACTTTTTTCTTATCGAAGAAAATATTCACTTAAACAAATTAAATATTAATGGTCAAGTTCTGGAAGAAGTTTTTTCAACTAAGATGGCTTTCCAGCTTTCTCTTCGGGCAATGATAGGCAAGTCTTTGAAACCAATTGCTCGCTAGCAGAGCTAAATGAAAACGCTAAATTCATTTGAGCAGAGTTCATGTATCGTTATATGTGAAACGTTCTATTTAAATCTGGCATTTTCCTTCGTTCTATCTGTTTCTTTCGCCTCACCATATTCTGTTTTTTCTAACACTATAATTCAACTTAGGACTTCAAACATGCCGCTTCATTTTCCTACTGCCTCAATTCCGTCGATTTTATTCCCTTATTTATGATAGTTGTACAAGATATAAGTACGTTTACGTATTAATGAACGAAATGAAAAAGAATAAATTTTCTATTTTAGCGTGAATTTAGTTTTCTATCCTTTTCTCTCTCACTGTGATTTTTTAATGCATAATTCGTCAACATCAATTGATATCGCATTAAGTCGAGAGTACTTACTTGCCTTTTTTCTATTCTAACTTCGAGTAAACAATCCAGGCACACTTTTTCTGCTACAAAAACGCGTCAATGTCCGTTTATTTTTAACGCGTTTCGTATCAATATTTTAGAAACATTTTTAAATGGATTGGTCTGACATTTTTTTCGAGAGTCTACATGCTCACTCAAAGAGTTTCACTGCTCTCAAGAATGTTAAAAAACAAATAGTACTTACATGATTTGAGTGTGATTCGAACGTGGGTATCTAGAATTAAGAAGCAAACACACAATCGTCTGAGCTACAGACGACTGGAGCGTGAGCCGGATCACAACAGTGTAATTCGTTGATTTCTAATCAGCGTAAAAGCGATGGTGTTTGCTTCTTAATCTATTAGACCGCACATTTTGATAAGCTTAAAGCCTTTTTCATGAACTTTGTCATGAGCGGCACACAATGTTTGTTTGTTCATTTATTCACTTCTTCTCCATAGCTATTTAAAGAGAAGAAAACAGGTTGATTTTGTTTATTTACCAAAGATCTGTTAGAAATTTGCCTTAAGTGTCTTCGTTTAATTTGTTTTTTAGGGGGTAAAAGGGCAGAAAGAGCAGCCGAACAGAAATCTCTGTCTTTGTGTGAAACTTGTTTTACCGTCGCCAGCCTCAGTGTTTCTAATGATAAGTGCAAGTTGACTCGTCGGAACGTGTCAATTTATTGCAAAATCGTCCTGCTAAACGCGTTAAATGTAAACGCATTTAAACGCGTCAAAACTTGCCGCCTTAATAGCAAATCAGGTAAATTGTTTTGCGTCCGGTTTCGAAGGAAACAGTATACATATTCTGATTCGGTTTTTTACGTAGATTCTGAATCTGCTTTCTATTGTTTGGTGCCTAGTCTAGTTTTTGAGGAAAGAGCGAAAAAGTGGTTTTACGTGGAAACTACTAGCTTTTCTCCTTTCTTTCGTTCTTTTTCGGAATGTTTCTGGCTCTCTTATTCCTCTTATTTTTTTATATATAGAACGAGGAGAACGAGAAAGAGAATATCAAGGTATAGCTTATACTATATAATCAAGTTGTTGTACAACTAATTATTCTTGTTAAACATCGAGTACATATGAAAATCAACTTACAAAATAGCACAACTGAAAACATGAAAAACAAAACACTAAAAAAAAGTCTACTATACAATTTAACCTACACAACAATCCCTTTCCCCACGAAGTATTTTCATGTACAAAAAATAGTCTCCATTAATCTTCGATTTATTACTGTTTTCAGTTTCTATTGTAACAGAATTACTTTTACAAACTTTACAATGAAAATCTGAAACATAGCATACTTTATCTTTATATTCGCCATAAACTAAATTGACAATACAATTTAAACTGGCAAAAAATGATATTTGTGGTGTAAACTGAGATTTAATACCAATACTTTTGAAATAATTATACTCATTTACTGTTAGACGAATGCGATGAGCATGTTCTTTAGCTCCTCGACGACCTGGTTTTAAACGTGCTGCTAGAAAGTGTTGTAATGAACAACAGAAACGTATCCGTAGACGATCTTGCAATCGTGCACTTGATGTTGTCATACAAGGATATGATTCATTAATATTATTCTGGCTCGATACTAGTTGACCATGATGAAGTTTCAAGAAATAACCGGGCTCCAATTTTCTTTCACGCAGACGTGGAAAACCCTATAACAAATTTGTGACAAGACACTATAACAAAATATTATCCTTAAGAGGCCCCCCTCAGAAATGCCGATTCTCGGATTTTGCGATAAGCACATACAAAGATAGCCTAAAGTGTCTACTTTCAGAATATATATGATTTGATACCATATTAATGGCTTTTGAGATGGTTTTCAGAGCTTTTCTGGAGACCCCCTGTACAAAAACTTACTATTTTATTTCGAACTGACGCACTGATGCTATGAAAGTGATTTTTGTACAAAACGAATACCTAATGATGCTGAGTACAATGCATGGGTGAACAAGCTTAGAGAGTCCTCAGAAGAGTTTCCTGAAACAGGTTTTCTAGGAGATCTTTGAAAAACCAGGTCGTGTGTAAAAAATTTCGAATAGGATTGTATTGATTTTTTCTCATGGACTGAAGCCCGAGATGTCCTCTTGAAGACGGGGGTCAAACGACACCTTGATTTTCCGCGGCTTGGGCGCTGTATCGGATTTCCTACCAGCCTCAGAGCTGACACCTGGTGACTATTGGTAGCCTTGAAAACGTATGGACTATGGCACAGTGGGCATATTTGGCTAGAGCAGCCAGACATGTGGTTTTATTCGGCAGATAGAAGTGCTACGTTGATAATAAATATAGTTCCCTATAGGTTATCGAGTACCCTCTATCCAATGGTGAAGTCAAAACCCATTTTCGAAAACTTTAATCTTACTGTTTTTCCAGAAAACCCGGTTTTTGGTCAAAAACTGAACTTTTTGTTAAAATAAAGGCTGAATCAACTAGAGACATCCTCAGGGTATAAAGAAGGAAAACTTTTCCTTTTTGTAAACGAGGTGAAACAACCGTATGAGCATGCAGAGATCACAATTAAACTTATAATTCCACTAAGAAGTGTAAGTTTAATT